TTTTTAAAAAAATTCTTGTGAGCACAATTTTGATATTTTTAGTATTACATCTTCGACCAAAATAAATTTCATTTTTATTACTGTACAACCATTATTTGGTTGCCTTTTATTTTAAAATATAAATTTTTGGAAAGAAAATAATGTTAGGTTATCTAAATCTGTAACAAGATATACATAAACATTTTATCTCCTACACTTAGGTAAGTTATTTCTTAGTATCACAAAAACATAATTAAACATGAAAATAAATATAATAAACGTCTAATGCAACTAATAAGGACAAAATTACAATAAAAAAAATTAATGAAAATTTTTGACGTATAATTATTTGAATTAGTAACATGAACTTTTCTAATTATTTGATTGGCTGAATTGTTTTGAAAAAATATCGAGAATCTTAATATAACCTTGAAAAACACTAACAGTTTTATGAACGTTTAATAAATAATAAATAAATATTACTTAAGTGCCTTCCGTTGATAAATTTTTCATTCCGCGTTTCCTTTTTCTCGATTTTTATTTTCTTTTCTTTGATTTTCTTTCATTTTGCCACTTTTTATTACATTTTTGGTTACTTCGTGATAAATAACATGGAACAAATAAATGCGAAACTTCAGATTGATTGGAAAACGATTGATTTGACCAAGCGACATATTTGACGAGCGACAATTTGAATATCCACGTAAAAAAAATAATTAAATAAGAATTAGAATAAATAAAAACATATGCACAGTTTTAAATACATCTAAAGTAATATGTGCCCCAATTTTAGAGCAAATTAAATAAGAAACTTTGGAGAAATTAATGATTTGACCAGCGACATATTTTCCGTACTACACCAGTATCACAAGTATCCAACAATTATTTTGCTTAAAATATAGTTGAAAATAAAAATAAAAATCACGCACATAAAACTTGAATTACAATTCAATTGTGCCTCTTATTTCAAATTTTTTCATTTAGTTTTTTAATGTTTATTTTATAAAACCATTTTGATTTGACCAGCGACACAAAAACTGAGGGACACTTATTAGAAGATTATATCTTTTCTAATTTTTACTTTTTTTAAGTTTGTTTATGGAATTCTTAAGATTTTTTAAATAGTTTATAACAGTAAAAAACGTGTTTTCCAAAAAAACTTTATTTAAACAGTTAAAATACCTTTAGAAAAAGTGAAAGTGACACTTGCAAAATCATGGTATTGTGAACTTTAATAAAGAAAAACATAGAAAAAAAACAAAATAATTTATATCAATGGTTAAATCGTAATCCTTATTTTCTTTTTTAAAACATGTAAATATTTAAAAATCATTAGTTTTTATATTTAGGCTGTTTAAGTGAAAATAATGTGAGGGACTTAAAGGTTAAAAGTTCCTGAGATTCGCCCACATATTTGAAGTCTAGAATTTTTTTTAAATAATGAATTTTTAATATTGCAAGGTAAAGCACCTACTTCCCATGTTCTAAACAATATATTTTACTAAAAATTCCTAATTGACAGTCACTGCACAACACTATGGTAACCCGGTGCAACTCATCAATTTTTGATGAGTTGCACCGGGTTACAAAATCATCTGTAGCTTGTACGCATTTCAATGTCCCAAAATGGCATTTGAAAGGTAAAAAGCTTATTAAATAAGGAACATTTTTGGGTATTTTTGAAAAAATTTGAAGGGTTGAAAGAGGGGGGAAATTTAAAACAAAAAATTTTTATTTTTTTTATGAAATTACATTTTTTTAAATAATTAGTAATTTTATTCAAAAGTTTGGAAAATTCTCTACTAAAAACACTTATACAACTTTAAAATCCATTGATATGGGTAAAAGATATTGCCATTTGAAAATTATACTGAAAAAAATTGAGCCCCTGATAACATGGCAACCACGCATTTCACAGACCTAAAAACCTACTTTACATACACTGGAGCTTTACTTATTTTCAGTCTCACTTATTTGTAGTTGCACTTATTTTCACAATTTCCAGTCTCACTTATTTTTAGTTTAAAGGTTCTCCGTGCGTTCTCATTGGTTGATGTTAGAGAATATGCACCAATCAAATCAACTCGAATATTACGTTTCAGAGTGAAAATAAGTGCGACTCTGCCTTTCAGTTTGTTTGGACTTGGTGAAAATAAGTGAAGCTCCAGTGTACTTGTTTTTATGTATACTCTAACATACTTCATTTCAAAAAAGAAATTTTTTTAGGGTGGCTTTTATGTTAGAGAATGCCTCATTTGCCTCAGGTTATATTCATAACCGGCAAAAAAACATGTAACCACGTGATTTTAATACCAAATTTTCCCGCGGTTGGCGCAAGTGTACTTAAGTTCATGAAAACTTGAGAACCGTGAATACCGAAAACGGGGCCACTTTCCGTTAGAGCCGCCCATAGGTGATACGTCTCCTTATAATACTTCGTGACTACAATCTAGATAGCTGTCTGTATACGTATTATTAAAGATGGTCACCCTAACCATCATTATGTTACCCACTACTATAAATTTTTCTCCGTGTAGGATCTTATGTGGATTCCTATATGAACAAGAAGATTAAATAACAATTTTACAAAATTTACAATGAAAACTTTTTAAAAATATATTGTTTTGACACGTAATATTTACAAATATAAAAATTAATTATATATAAACATTAAGTATAAATTATTATTAAAATAATAAAACAGAGACCGACAGATTAGCTCAGTCGGATAGATGCCTCGCTTGGCGGTCGTATAAGGACCGAGGGTATAAGTACCCTTGGTTCGCGCCCATTTGGCTTGGTATTTTTCCGGCACGTGAGACAATCTGAGCGGGAGGTTTGACGTCAAGGTATAATGATGTGCACCGTCGATTATTGTCCGGTACACACCATTAGAACTCGACTTTCGATAAACCGGTTGTACTCAGGAGAGGTTTTCTACAGTTTCCCTCTTCTCTGGTGAGAAAACTCTTTGACTGGTAGTCCAGGCGGATGCGAGTACTCCTAATAAAGTCGTCTGTAGACGCAAAAATTAGGTTAATATAATTATAGGAAAAATTTAATATGTAGAATGGTTATGCTTAATCCAAAAAAGTATTTCTCGGGGACTCTTGTCGAAGTGCGTAAGGCCAATAGGGCAGGAGTATAAACAATAAAAAAAATAGTAAAACAGTTAAGATAGTAACCCTACTTTTTTACAGTATGATATAAAGTATCACCTGAAGATGGTACTGTTTTAAGTATTACCAGAAGATAGGACTGTATCTCACTGAGGTATCGAAATATTGTTGTTTAGTTCATTATATGACTTTCGTTAAAAAAAATGTGTTCTGCCGTAAAGTCTCTCTTTTAAATAAATTTCACTACTTTAAGGCGTTTTGATAAACACAATAAATATTCCAAATTACATACATAAAGGCCTTTATTAAACTAATTACAAATTGAATATATAAAAGATTACAATATAGTTTCTATAATTTATGCTTGCTTGACGACTACTCGTCGGGAACTATCGCACCTTCCTATCATAGTCGTTTACCAAAATTCTCCCCACTCATTCAAATTAAAATTCGTCGAACACAATCGCGTAGCGACAAAATGTGTTAGGCTATTTATAAGAAAAATCTTAGGGCCTAAAGGAACATGTTTTTTGAGTTTTTGGAAGCTCATAGAAAAACCAACCGACGGTTTAGCGCAGTCGGATAATGTCTCCTACGAAATTTTCGCCACCTTGGTTAGCGAAATTGGCCAGAGTGGTAGCTGACAGAGTCCTCCTCTGCCTACCAACTGGGTTTCTCTAAGGGGCCGCCTGGACTTCCGGAATGAGTCGAATGGACCCTCTGCTTCCTTTGAGTCCGAAGAGATAGGGTCCAATTCCATTCCCTGTCGGGAAGGTCGTCAACAAATTCACCTGTGTACGGTAGACACTACAGAATTTTGCAAGGCAGCGCACAACGTCCACCTTATCGGGCACTCTTCGTTATTACGTTGGCTATACCGTAACACCATCTCATGACGCAAACGGAACAACAATGAATGAAGTGTTCCAGCCAGGCCAGACAGACAGGAACGGCTGGATTGGATCCCAGAATGGATCTTCTTCTAACTTCACCTCTACCTCTTCCGGTGGGTCGTGGATATTATATGGCCCCTCCTTGACAAGCTCTGTTGGATTCCATGGTGATGGTGTTAGGATTTCCTCTGGTTGATCTTGAGATGATAAAGAAATAATTCGAGGTTCCGCCTAAATCTGCCAATCCCCATTCTTCAGTTCCCTTTCCTCTCAAAAATTCTCATTTTCTCCCAGTTCCACAGCGTCCCTAAGTCCTCCATCTTAATCATCTGGATACTTGAGGAGCTAAAATCACAAATCAAGAGTTTCTGAAGTCGCTGACTTCTAATCCAATGTCAATTTTAAACATTTCAAAATGTCGGACAAGTTTTTTAAAAATCGATCTCGAGATAAGGTGTCTCACCACCAGAGTTATATCATTGGAAAATTAATGGGATTAACTGAAATAAATATATTAAAATTTTCTTAAGAAAATGCTTAGTAAGGTAATATAGGACCGGGTCTTAGAAAAGGGATCAGTTAGCCAGAAAATCGATTTTTATGATGGTTTAGTATAGTATATATATTTATGATGGTTTAGTATATCTTTTTGTAATTGTTAAAACAAATTAATAGAATATTGTGCGTCAAGGGACAAAAAGACATCTGTCACGTGACGGTGACCGGGACAGACCCCGGTCGCCCCAACCACAAAAAACCAATTAAAAAGAGAAAAAACTGTACTTATAATGTTTTGCCCGTTTTCTCTATCCAACATCATTTTTGCTCCCTAGGGAGTATTTGTTTCTGCTACTCTAGACCAATCAGAAAACAACGATTTCGCCTTTTTTTGATTATCCGACATTATATTTACTCCCTCCATTATCCGATCAGTATGAAAACATCGTGAATTTAATTTATTATTGTTTTAAAATTAAAAACTTAAAATGCGATAATTCTATTTTTTCAGAATGACTTAAATGCTTTGCATTTGGCTTCAAAGGATGGTCATGTGGAAATAGTTACAGAACTTTTAAAAAGAGGTGCTAAAGTCGATGCTGCTACAAAGAAGGGAAATACTGCCTTACACATAGCTTCATTAGGTAATATAATTTTCTTTGTTATGATTCTAATATTACGGGATCACAATAAATGAATTAATATTCATCGCAACTCTCGAACATTATTATACATGCGATTCCAGCTCATTATTAAACAGTTTTGGAGCATCCCTACCAAATTATTTGAAACTTAGTATAATATTACATTTATTTGTATAAAGTTTCAGAAAATCAATTTTTTGAGCCAAGATAATAGTTTATTTATAAGATATATGACAATTGTTCAAAATTTGTTTAATTGCTCATATCTTTTAAACGATTAAAGATAAATCTTACCAAGTTTCAAGTAATTCGTTGAAGCTGCTCCAAAATTCTTTAGCAATAAAAACTCAAATTCCCACACTAAATTCAATTGATCATAATTTAATTTTAATTTACAGCTGGTCAATCGGAGACAGCGAATATACTTATTCAATATGGAGCACAAGTCAATATTCAATCTCAGAATGGATTTACACCGCTTTATATGGCAGCACAAGAAAATCATGACAATGTTGTTAAGATTCTGCTCAGTAATGGTGCTAATCAAAGTTTGGCAACAGAGGTAAGCTTGGTTTATTAAATATATTTCAGAAGATGCATCATCTACTGATAGTACTATTTTCTTCCTTTGAAAAACATTTTAAAATTGCAAAAATCCTTTATATTGATTCCATGTATATTGGAGATTTGAAATTAGAAATACTGAACAACATTTTCAAATATTTAAGTGGAATTTTTAATTTTTTCCCTAACGATGACTTCAAACTACTCTAAACAAACATTGTTCTTATTTGTTACAGGATGGCTTTACCCCTTTAGCTGTTGCAATGCAGCAGGGACATGATAAAGTAGTTAGTGTTCTTTTAGAAAATGATTCAAAAGGAAAAGTAAGGCTTCCTGCTCTTCATATTGCTGCTAAAAAAGATGATTGCAAAGCAGCAGATTTACTTCTTCAGGTATATTTGTTCATTTTACATATTTAAAAGAGTTTCAAAATTCTGTATATTTTTTACAAGATTGGATTAGACGATGAGTTCCCCTTACAACACATTTAAGTAAACTAGACCTGGAATATGACCATTTCCCAGTGGGCACACTTATTAAAAAGACGTCCTAAGAATGTCTTTTAAGACATTCCTGTGCCCACTGGGTTCAAGCTTATTTTTAGTGTGAACTGTCATAAATTATTACCTTATGATAACTTTACCCTATTGAATATTATACATATGAAAGATCTAAATTTATACTGAGCTTACTAATGAATTTCACCTAGTGCGCTTTAAGAAAACTTTCAGTAAGATAATGTGTTATGTAGATATTTTTTTATGAAATACCTACATAAGGTAAATAAATAAAATAGTACCTATTACAATTCTTTTATTACCATAATATCATTATATTTTAATGAAAGGAAAAATTGTTTTAGAATGACCACAAACCGGATGTTACCTCAAAAAGTGGATTTACTCCTCTTCATATAGCTGCACACTATGGTAATGAAGAGATTGCAAAGCTACTGATAAAAAAACGTGCTGATGTAAACTACCAAGCTAAGGTGAGAAATAAATTTTTTTAAAATTATTAAACTCCTAGTTATTTCTATTCTTATTTATATATAATATTTCTATTCCTAATAAATATGTGACGCGTTGATGAAATAAACTTGAGAGGAAACATTTATAAGAATTTGATGATTAAAAAATCATCATAATATATTACATAATACGAGTTTAATTTACAACAATTATGAACTCTGTGAATATTAAGTTAACTCTCTGACAAAAATGTTTTTTTTTCAGTTTAATATTAGTCCATTACATGTAGCTGCAAAGTGGGGAAAAAACAATATGGTAAAAGTACTTTTAGAAAATGGAGCAGTTATTGAATCGAAAACTAAGGATGGGTTAACACCACTTCATTGCGCCGCTAGATCTGGTCATGAGGAAGTTGTTTCAACTCTTTTAGAAAATTCCGCACCTATAAGTGCACGATCGAAGGTGAGTTTTTTTTAAATAAGTTAGCAATTTATTATAAGAGATTCAAATTTCATGTCGAACATTATTTAAATTTTGATTTTAATGCTACTATTTTTAATCTAACAATAAATCAATTGTTAATCAATCTGGACACCTATTTTAAAGTTATTGTTTTCAGAACGGATTAGCACCTTTACATATGGCATCACAAGGAGATCATGTAGATGCCGCGAGAGTTTTATTGTATCATCGAGCACCAGTTGATGAAGTAACGATAGATTATTTAACATCTCTACACGTAGCGGCTCATTGTGGACACGTTAGAGTGGCAAAACTACTTTTAGACAGGAAAGCAGATCCAAACGCCAGAGCCTTAAATGGCTTCACTCCATTACATATTGCTTGCAAAAAAAATCGCATTAAAGTTGTGGAACTTTTAGTAAAGCTTGGTGCATCTATTGAGTCAACGACAGAGGTAAGGGGCCGTCCATAAATTACGTAAGGTCATTTGGGTGGGTGGACAATTTTTCTATGTTAACTTACATGGGTGGGTACCTGGTTAAACGAATTTCTTACGTAAGATATATTTTCTTACATTACTCCATAAATTTCGGAAATTCTCAAGCTATGATAGGGTCGTTCCAGAATGAGCCAAAACGCAACGAAGACGCGACGCGTCCCAATGCCAAAGATGGTAATATTAAGCTAAATTTCTGCATTAAATTGTATTAATTGTGTACTACTACACTTTAGAAGGCTCTTAAAAGACCAAATTAAAAAAATTTTTTTTAGGTTTTTTATTATAAATATTTAAAAAACTTTTTTGCTTATATTAGTACATATTTGGAGAATAAAAATAATGGTTTGTTTTTAATTTTTATTTAATATCATAATCTGCAGATAGCATTCAGATCGAAACTCCAAAAAGTTAGTTGTCCAATTGCGGACAGTTTATCTCAAGATTGACAAATCGGAAACAAAAAATCCAAAATGCTTTTTAAAAAGGAAGGTGTCTTGCATAGAAATCTACCACCAATAATGAAAAATCGACTAAAATAAAAAAATAGCAGATGTTTCAATAATTTTTGTCAAAATACACTATGTTTTTCAGTATTTTTCTAGTTTACGAAAAGGTTTTTTTTTTAATTTTTTGACCATTTTCTGGTAAATTCTCACACAGGACATGCTAACAAACAAAACGAGTTATCATTTATTAAAATCGGTTCAGTAGATTCAGAGATAAACTGTCCGCAATTTGAGAAAACGTTATTTTGAGAAAAACGCGTTTAAACTTATATGTATCGTTAGAGGCTATCTATAAATTATCTAAAATTCTTTTGCAAATTGAAACCCCACCATTTTTTTTATTTCAGACACTGTTACATACATTAGCACCAATGTTTCTACTGGTCGTAACAAAAAGCTGGACCCCACCATCCCCTTAAAGACTTACTTAATTTGTCAATGACTTTTTACATTAATTGAATATTTTTTGAAAAATTTATTTTTATTTTTTACAATTGGTTATAAATACTTTAGGAAGTGTTTTCTAAAGTCATAAAGAGTCAAAAAATGCAATAAAAAAATAAAATTTTTTTAAATTCTAAAGTGTAGTAGTACCTTAATATTTATTATTTTGACCAAAGTAAAATATGTTTAATAAATTTTATATAAATTAAGTATATTCTAAGAAATACAGAACTATACACTAAATACCAAACATTTGTTTATTAATTCATTTTATTAGTTAAACAATTTTTTGCATTGCTGCTAGCAAATTCTCGTAAAAAATACCTAAGCAAAAACTTACGTAAGATAGGGGGGGTGGGTGGTTCAAAATCTTGCGTAGCCTTACAGACGTGGGTGCATGGGTCAAAATTTAAGAAAAATGCCTTACGTAATTTATGGACGGTCCCTAAGTGATTCTGATTTTATAAGTTTTTAAATATATATTTTTTATTTCTGCACTTTTGAATGTAGCTCTTTTAACTCTGGAAGGTTTTATCTATCTTATGTATTTAGTTCATAATAGTAACTGAAAAAATTACTCTAGTTTTTGAAGAATAAAGAATTATGTTTTTAATGATACATATTTTTATAGTCAGGACTCACACCTTTACATGTTGCAAGTTTTATGGGCTGTATGAATATTGTCATATTTTTACTTCAACATGAAGCGAATCCTGATGTTCCTACAGTCAGAGGTGAAACACCATTACATTTAGCAGCTAGAGCAAAACAAACAGACATTATTCGTATTTTACTTCGAAACGGAGCAAAAGTTGATGCTCGTGCGAGGGTAAGTTATTTGCACATAATTTTTCCTCATATACAATGTTAACATTAAAATTTTGCATTTACCCAATTGAATAAGTTTTTAAAAACCATTTTTGGATGCCTGAGTTACATTCGATTAAGTTGTATCTGATTAGTTAATATCTCAAATTTGATGTAAAAGGTTGCATTCACATGCATTAACTGCTATTCAGACTGACTGATAAGATAATTAAAATTTTGGGAGTAAACAATTATTTTTATATTATATTTTATTAATTTAGAAAAACAATTTAAATTACAAAAATTAAAGTAATAGTTAATTGTAGCTTTAAATATTGTGAAATATTTTATTTGAATTGTGCGGAAACGAGAGTTTTGAGGTTTTAACGTTTAACCCATAGGGGATCTTCCATTCAAGAGCATTCTTTACAAAATTAAATTCGTTTAATTCGTACCAAATACTTTTCTTACTTTTTTACTATTTTAGCTTTATTAAATAATAATTAATAGATTCGCCTAATAGTAAAAGTGTCTTAAGTAATATCACGTGGTAAAAAAGAAAATTTCTCAACATGAGCTGCACGTTGTCTTATAGATGTCCCCTGGACATTAAAGATTGTCAAAAGACAATCTTCTAGATAAAAGTAACTTCGATACTTGAAAACTGCAGATGCAGGCAGTTCTGATAAAGCCAGACTTATGTGAATACGTGAACGGGGAAATAGTTAAACCCGAGGTAGGAGAAGGTGCAGCGGAAATAACTCAACTTCAAGCACGGTCGAAAAACTATCTGAGCGCCAGGTCAGATCGCAAGAACCGGCGACCTTACTAGAAAGATTGACCTTGCACAAGATGGTGGAGGGAAGTAATATACGGGATCATCTGAATTTTTTTTCGACACAGTGGACAAACTTGGTGAAATGTACATTCAATTAAATCAAGATTTGTTAACGGTGATGCTGTTATCTAGCCTTTTAATAACTTCGAAAACTTTAGGTGAGCGATAGTGTCAGTTTCGTGGCGAACATAAGTGATTCCCAACAGGGGACTTTAAATGTCGCCAACAACTCAACAGCACAAATTTTAGGAAAAGGGTTCGTACAAGTTAACGATAAAAGTGCGGGATGACGAAAAAACGTTTCGCTTGCTGATGCTTTATACGTACCGGACTTAAGAACGAACCTTTTGTCGGTGTCAAAAATTGAGGATTTCAATGAAGTGAACGTCAATGACAATGATGGTGATTTTCCGGAACTTGACAACGAAGTTGACGACGGTAGCAGCGATTTCCTCGCAGTCGACAACGAAATCAACGATGACCTTGAAAACTCAGATGGAACATCCCAAATCGAAGCGCAAGAAACTATGCAAAAGAAACCAGGTGGACCAAAAGGAATCGTAAAGAAACAATCAGATAATCCAAATATTGGTACAAGAACCGGTCAACGAATCAGTACTTGGAAATTACAAGAAACCGGCTAACAAAACCGAAACGAGATAATGGATGCTGTCAAGTGAAATGTTTTATCAGAAATACTAGTGAAGAAGGCAATTGCGATTCCAGACGTCGAGGAAGAGATTCATGCTATATTTGATGAAATGAAGTCAATCATAAAAAACAACACTTGGACTTTGGTCGATCCGCCACATGAAAAAACAACAATCGGCAGCATAATGATTATAAGAAATAAATTAAAACCAGATGGGGACATTGAAAGGAAAAAAAATCCCGCCTAATCGCCCAAGGCTTCAATCAGCAATCAGGAGTGCACTTCACAGAGACCTTAGTTTCAGTCACTAGGACTAGTAACATTCGAGAAATAGGACTTACGCCAACTAACTCCAATCCATGTCTCTTCCAAATCGGGATAGGGGAAGAAATCACTTTAGTAGCAGTCATTGTAAATGATTTTCTGATAACCTCCCGGAGAACAAAGACATTTGACGGAATTCGTAGGAAATTAGCCAATGAATTCGAAGTGAAAGATCTTGGAAGTGCATCATACTGCCTGGGAGTAGAGTTTATTCAGGAAGATGGAGAAGTCACCATGCATCAAAAGACTCTGATAGACACAGGCACCAAACTCACGAAAAGGGTCGATATCACCACCAAGGAAGAAAAATTACAATATAGCGAATTGATAGGAGCACTGACTTATTTGTCAGTAACGACTCATCCCGATATCTCATACGCGATAAGTGCTCTCGCTCAATTTAATAAGAATTACGGTTTTGAACACTGGAAATATTTTCTTTTAAATTTTATATTTATATTTTGTTATCATGAAGGGATATTTAGTTACGAATTCGATCGTAACACTGGAGAAAAGTGTTTCGTTTTATTGAAAAGTATTGGGAAGTCACTTACTCTTAATGCTAAACGGTCCCAACAGTTCTAATAGCAGAAATGTGAAAAAAGAGAAGAATACCTATTTACACTTACACTGAAATCTCACTTATTTAAAGTCTCGTTTATCTGAATCCGTTTTCGCTTCAGTTACTTTCAGTTAGGATCAGTCCTAACTCCACTTGTCTTAGCTCATGCGCAGTACGCGACCAATGGAAATATACTTTCATTCCCATTGGTTGAGTTCAAGCAAAACCAGCCAATCATGTCAATTTATCGAATTACGTCATCAACATAAGTTATGCCTACCAAAGTACAAATAAACGCGACACTTCGTGTCGAATTGCGTGAGCCATGTTCAAATAAGTGTGGTTTCAGTGTATATCAAAATTTGTTAAAAATGTTGTTGATAAATCTTTTGTAATTCAAAATTTGTTAATTTTTTTACAGGAGCAACAAACACCGTTACATATTGCTTCAAGATTAGGAAATCTTGATATAGTAATGCTCTTACTGCAACATGGTGCTGATGTTGATACAACTACAAAGGATATGTACACAGCATTACATATTGCAGCGAAAGAAGGACAAGATGAGGTAATGTACAAAGAATTCTCCGAAATAGTGGATCACATCAATGAGTTAAATATGTTGTATCTTTTTTGTGCACGGCACCGTGAATATTTAATTTAAGCTTTTTATTATCTTATAAGCACATTTTGTTAAGTTTTATTTAGAGTTATTTATTTTATCATTACTGCTATTTTATATTATATATATTGTTCACGACTTACAATTTTATAAAATCACTTATTGTTTATTGTACAATGATTAATAAAATGATTTTTTGTTGAATATATTTTACTTATATTATATTTTTACATTATGAATTTTGCAAGGCATGTTAGACAAAATATTTTGTTTCTGCACATATGTATAGTTGCGTGTTTCATATTATTTTTATAAAAACAATATAAGGATCAAAGTGACCCAATATTTAATCTTCAGACACAATACTTATTGAACTTACGTTAATGGAACAATAAGTTAGCGTAATTTAGGTAAAGTATCCACACTTTTCGAGGTTGAAACAACATCATTTCAATCTATTTTGTGTAAAGTTGAAGTTCGATTTTTAACAGTGTAAGGTAAAAGTCCCAGTTATGAAGCGCTTTCGTAATTTCGTCCCTATTATGGAACAGTATTACAAAAATTAAAATAAATGCAATTCAAATTGGTGGTAACAAAATTCTAGTTATTTCAATAAATTTTACATACAGCAAACACAACCTCAAATATTTTCAGTATTTTCGCATTAAATTTCTACAGAAAAAAATGATTTTATAATTACCTACTTAACTAGAATTTGTTCTTTGTATTTAATTCTTTAAGGGGTTATACTACCCAGGCGCACTAAAAAATGAACGTTTTTTTGGGAATTTTTTTTGGAAACTATTCTATGGATCAAAATAAAATTTTGAGGCTTTATTATGCACGTTTTGAGGTACAGAAAAAAATTTCCATTAATAACTTTTGATACAAAATAGGGCCTTAACTGATGATAAACAGAAAATGAGTTTTTTACGAGAAGTGAAACTGCGTACAACGTAACATTCTCAATTTCGGAATTTAAATGAGGTTCATTATGAGAGTGTCAGATATTTACCTTTTTAATTATTCCACCGTCCGACAAAGTTAATTTTTTTCACACATGAACGAACCAAGGATTTTCGGAAACTAGAGCAAAAAAAGATACCCGTGTCTTGCCGTTTCTCGAGATCAAGACGTTTACGGTTTTTAGGGGTAAAAATAACCCTTAAACAGAAGGTAACCAATTGTCTTGCAAATAATCTAGAAAAATAGGAACTCAATATGAGCAGACTAGCCGCAAAGGGTAAGTATAAGTCTGGTAGAAAATGCACCAAACTTCGTCTTTTAATTCTAATTTTCCTAGAGTTAAGTATTGTGCAGGATAGAATGATTAAAATGGTGAAATTTAAACCCTGTCATAAGATCTTTATACCTTCTAGAATAGACTGCAAAAGAAGTGTATTCCACTTGGAGACGCAGTATGGTATAAGGATGGCTCTAAGGTGGACTGCGGTGTAAGTTTCGGAATTTACCAAAAAACTGGATGTATTAAAGTGGTTGAATCATTGAGACAATATGCCACTTGCCTAGGAACTCTGAAATATCTCTCAATAGAATCAAAACTCGTCTAGGAATGCCTACTGGATGAGTTGGGTTCAGTAAATAAACTTTTATTGATCTGAGTACCGGGTCACTCGGAGATTAGGGAAATTTTTTAAATTAATAGTAAACTTTAATGAATCGGCATTCTTACTCAGTAAAAAATGTATTCAGAATAGAAAAAAGTGAGAGGCAGAATTGCTTCATAGATCCATAATAGTGTATCCGGTTTAAGACCTTAGTTGACACCAATTGCCAGTGGCGGATCCAGGGGGAAGGTCATGGGGGTCATGACCCCCTCTGGGACGAAAAATTTACAAATAAAAAAGGTCAGCTAATTATGGTCGTCGCTCGCCGCATCTAAAGAAAGATGACCCCTTCTAGAGTAAACTCTGGATCCGTCACTGCCAATGGCCCATTTGCATTTTCAAAGAGCAGCTGTAAGTTTCTTGCACTTCTCCTCTAGGTGCTTTTTCCAAAGCAGCTTACTATCCAGAATTTCTCCAATACCGTCTGGTATAGATAACAGCTTTTGTTTTCCCAGAATTTATAGACAGACCTACCTTCTTGCACCATCTATCTACCCGGTTTAATGCCTCTGGCGCCACATCGAGTAATACATCAAGGTGGAGGCCACTAACGATTAAAAAAATATTGTCTGTGTAACCTTGCCTCAGTGAAGAGACTCAGTAGTTCATCCACTACCAAGAACAAAAGAAAAGGTGAAAGGATTCCATTCTGAGGTATTTAGAATTAACTGTTCCTTCCAGGATTGAGTTCCATTTTGTTGATAAAAGGTCTCCGTTCTTCAAGATACGACAAGTCCTATCAACAATTACTGTAGGGATATTAAAAGCTGTCATAGCTAATTTTATAGACTTTGGGGAGGCCTGACTAACAGACCTTTTTGTGCCCATAAACTACCGCAAAACCCTGGTTTTGTACTTGTCCATCAATGAGATCAACTGCTTTACCCAGCGCTGTCTCCGTAGAGCATCTTGTTCTATACGCATTTGTATAGCGGATACTGCTTCAAGATCTCGCTGCGGATATATCTATCGATCAGTCTTTCAACTAATTTTACAATAAAAGATGTAAGGCTAATAGGGCGCAAATCCTTCCGTGAGGTATACCCGTTTTTGTCCGGTTCAGGTATGAATACAACTTTCGTACCTGTCTACGATTTTGGCACATAACGCTGTAAAGTCAAACTGGCCATAGCAAGCATAATCAATGGCCCTACACCATCATTTATAAAAGGACAGGGAAGACTCCATCTTGACTGGGAAGCTTGTAAGGACTAAAAGATTTCACGGGACATCTGCCCCTATCAGCAGTCACGGTCCTATTAGCCAACTGCCTTTGAGACCGATAATCAGGCTGCGGAAGGTTAATCAGAGGCCTAGGATCGGAGCTGCTTTCTGCAGACTTTGAAAAGCCCGGAAAGTGTGACTTGACCAAATAGGACAAGGTCTCATCGTCTGACTCAGAAAAGCTCCCATCAGGCATCTTCATGGTGCACAAGATTGCATCGGAGTTTTTAGCAAGCAGCTTATCAAGCCTAGCTGCCTCCTTCCCTTTTTCGATGATAGAACAGAAAGCATTCAAACTATTTTGTTTTGCTTTTCTCATTTCGTTTTTAGTCCCTTCTGGTTTCTTTTCTGAGATGTTCTAATTTCTTATTCCGCCAGCATTCTTCTTTTCCCGAAAACATTTTGATCAGTTTGCAGCTATTTCCATAAGCTGCTTTGATGGCCTTTTTAAAGTTACTTGCCACTTTATCAATGGTCTCACGATCTCTAATCTTACATGATAAACCAGAAAGAGTCTCTCTGAGTTCTGAGTTACATTTAGCCCAATACGTCTTCCTGGGATAACGAATCCACTTCGCTTCAGAACGACCCGCAGACTCCACCTTAAAGACAATCTGTGAATGATCAGCAAGCGAAGGTTCATTAGAAACTCTATATCTTTTTACCTTGTTTCCAATGCTCTTAGAGCAGAGAGAAATATCAACCACTTCTTTCCTAATAGCATTGCAACAGAGGGAAGTTTGTCATATGGGAAGTATGCTGATACAACGGCCGTCTTATCTATCTCTTCTAGGTCAGTTACTACCAATATCAGATCCGCAGACGAGGCGCCTTTACTATAATGCAAGTTATTGTGTATAGTAGTGAGCTTGCAAACTGTGAATTATGTTTGCTCTCCGTTCACCTCTATATTTTCTGAATCTTCATGATCCGGGACAGTCACCTTAAAGGTTACCCGCCTTCGAGAGCTTCTATGGCCTTTGCTTGTCTCTCAAGGACCTGGAGAACCAGGAGGAAGCTCCTGTCAACCACCTGAGATCCATCGACATTCAGCAAAAGCCAGGTCGATGTCTCCAAAGTGGGGTTTCAACCCCTCGAGATGCTGTAAGACCATCTGCACGTCCTCCGGTTCTGCCTGGAGTATTTCAACCCCACTGACTCTTAACTTTGCTCCTTCCCAGGGCCTAAGCTCGGCTACCCGACCCGACACAATCAACCGGAAGGTCGCCCGGTGTTTAGCCTCTTGGGAAACACTAAATTGGTCACGGACGCAAGAGTCTCTCATGGTCCTTGTCTTAGCGGTCTCTCTGTAGGTGCTACGGTGAAAGAATACGATAATATGAATAATTATCTACTGCTTTTTCTTGGGTTTTGTCGTCAATGAATGAAACTTTTCCAAGTGTTTTTATGTTTTTATTAACCTTTCCTTTTTGGTAATTATTAAAATGCTTTTTTGTGCCCTCGTTATAGGCCTTCATCTTATTTGCATTGTTATCTATTAACATTTTCGTGTTCAATTTTTTGTTCTAAATTCTTTATAGAATCTGCTACAAAAAATACTTGAGCGCGATTAAATTAATCATCACATCTTCATACTTTGCAACTTCTGCAAATTTATATTTGTATATAATAAGATTTAGTACAAGTAAGAATCTTAAATTTTCCCTCTTGTTGTCCTTATAGAGAAAGATTTGTTTCATTGTACTTTTTGCTTTAGGAAGATTTAACAGTACTTAAAATAAACTTATTTTGAACAAGAAAATGATCAAATATACTATATAAACTATATGTTTAAACAGGTTGCTGCTATTCTTCTTGAAAATAAAGCATCTATTAAAGCAGTAACGAAAAATGGATTTACACCTTTACATATTGCTTCAAAATACGGAAACATGAATGTCTGCAAAATTATTTTACAAAAGGAAAGCAAACTAGATGCACAAGGAAAGGTTGGTTTAGGAAATTCTAAATTTTGTATATTTTATTTATTAGATCAACATATATTTAAAAAATTGAAAATTCAAATAACAATTCAGCGCACTTTTTTAGGAATCTATTCATAATAAAAAATTTCATTATTAATAACTTTTATGACTTACATAAATGTGACGCGATCTGAAGAAAGGGACCTTAGAAGCAAAAAATTATAGGTTATGTTTGTAATTTTTTAAATGAAAATACAAAAAAAGGATCTATTGTCAATAATAATCATTGATGTTTTAGTCTTCATTAAAACTAAAATATTTCATTAACACTGATTTTAGTTTAAAAAAAGTGAAAAGAAACTTTCAATCAAGAAAAATTTAACACTAACATAACCTTAAAGTGATTTGCTTCTAAGGTTCCTTTCTTCAGATCGCGTCACAAATGAATACAGAACTTCAGTAGGTTTTAAAATTTTTCCAAATAATTTTTTTTCAGAATAATATAACTCCATTACACTTGGCTTGTCATTATGATCATCCAAATGTTGTACAATTATTGCTGGAGAAAGGAGCATCTCCTAATATTACTTCTCAAAATGGTCATACTCCATTACATATTGCAGCACGAAAGAATCAGGTAATGTGATAATTAATATTAATATCATAGTTCCAAATATAATATTAACTCAAACAAGATCACATCGATTATTTTACTTCATAAGTAAAAATTCCTGATGTGTAATGGTAAAATTTCAAATTTACTCTATTCAATTGAAAACATGTAAAATGTATAGACATTATTGTGTAAACAGTTCAAAGGATTTTTAAAAAAAATAAAATGATGTCAACTATGTCCCATAGACTTTCTATACCATATCATTAATAAGTGCAACGTTTGCCTAATTATTAAATTACAAAGATCTAATACATCCTTAAATACTTCTTTTAGATGGATACAGCAACTGTTTTATTAGAGCATGGGGCTAAAACAAACGTTGAATCGAAAGCTGGTTATACTGCATTACATTTAAGTGCACAAAAGGGACATTATGATATGATTAATTTATTGATTGATCATGGCGCTGATCCGAATTACAATGCGAAGGTAATATATAAAAAATATTAATTTTACGGATAAAAAATGCTTATTCTAAAGAATTAGTACTGTTGTTTTCATTATATAACTTAAATTTTTTATTCAAATTTCGTCTTATAATTGAGCTTCTAATTTAACGAAATCAAAGATATACTTTAGATAGGGTAGCGTAGTGTGTATAAGAGAAAAATAATTTCAAATTAAAAACTAATAATATTAATTGAAAAATTAATAATTGAGGGGCCGGACGTATCAACTGCCCCTACGTGCCGTCGTAAAGGACTATACCAGTCAGTGAGCAGTGAGCGCCTCTATGGACCCCTCGCTGCTACCTGACTGGTATTATCCTTTGCGACAAAGCGTAGTGGCAGTTGCTACATCCGGATCCTGAATTAATGTTTGAACATTTATCTCAAGTATGTTATGGCAGAAGTTTGAAATTAATTAATAATTTAAAATCTTATATTTAATTTTAAAGAATTAAAAATTTTCCCCCCTAATTTAGAAATTTAAATAAAGTTTTTTACAGAATGGACTCACAGCCTTACATTTATGTGCCCAAGAAGATTTTACTAGAGTAGCTTCAATTTTAGTAAAAAATGGTGCAAATATTGAAAAAGAAACACAAACTGGTTATAGACCAATACATATTGCAGCGCATTTTGGAAATTTATCAATGATACGATTTTTATTAAAACATTCTGCTGAAATTAATGTTAAGACTAACCAAAACTACACTCCATTACATCAAGCTGCTCAACAAGGACATGCCCACGTTGTATCTGCTCTTATAGAAGGACAAGCTTCACACAGAGCACACACGAATGTAATTATACATTACCTATTATATATTTGTATAAGGAAGTGTAGGATAAAGCTGACCTTCAACTTATTTTGAAAAGGGATTGACAGTGAACTTTATTCTTTTGTTGAAAAAATTTTAAAAAAGTAGCTTACAGTACTGTCATTTTTTGTTATTTGCAAAAAGGATTTAATACATTTCCCTTACAATAATATGTTTAATGTTACTAATACTTACATTTGAAGTTAATTTTATAATTAATGTTTCTTTAGGATGGATTAACAGCACTGAATATCGCTCAAAAATTAGGATATATATCTGTAATAGAAGTTTTGAAAGGACTATCTTACGATAGCGAAACGCATGATAACAAAAATTGGGAAGAGAAATACAAAGTAATCGCCCCAGAAAGTTTGCAAGAAACAAGCTTTATTTCGGATTCTGATGATGAAGGAGGTACAAACTTAAAAATTTTAATTGTTCCATAAATTTAATTTTTTAGTTTAATACTTTTACTACATTATGACCGTAACTTTAATCTAATTCTTCAATTGTAATTTATAATTGAGCCACTGAAAATTTGTTAGCTTAATATGATTATAAGTACATTGTCTTTATAATTACAGGTTCAGACACTTTGATTAGTGAACAACCTTACCGATACTTAACCGTAGATTTAATGAAAAGTCTGCGAGACGATTCTCTTCCCATTGATGTAACTCGCGACGACCCTGTACACAGACATGGTAACAATTAATTTTTAGAAAATCCTTAACTTATGTCTAATATTTGCTTACAAAAACTTTTGATTTACAGTTTCAAAAGAAGAAAAGCAACAGTTTGTTGAGAGCAACAATTACTGCATAGGAGAAAATTTTGATAACGATAATTTTGGGTTTGGGTAATTAAATTACTGTTATTTATTTGAAAATTTAAAGTCATTAATAGAAGGTTATTAAAAAATTTGTCGATATTTACCTCAGAAGCGAGAAGCATGTAAGACAATCAGATTTTCAATGTATGAAACACGTGATAGATTTGATTTTGTTAATATATATGTTTCATTGAAATATTTTTTGGAAACTGACATTCATGATTAAAATTAAATAAATGAAAGGTAATTTACTAAAATATGTAAAACTGTCAGAAATTATAAGGAAATGCTGTTTAAGAAAGGAATTTTTTTCTCTGAAATATATAGAACATGAATCTCTATTTGTAATAATTCCCAAACAGTTTAGAAGAAAATGAGTATAACATGACTCACGAGTTTAAAAATATATAAAAATCCATTGAAATTGTCTTTGCTTCAGGTGTAAAAATATCAACACTTTTTTAATCAATTCGCACCTAAATAAACATAATGTTAAGTCTAACTCCAATTCAAGATAATTTTGATTTTGTCTGATTAGAAGTTAATCCTTAATATTGTCCTTTAATACTTTATGCAAATAGTTTTTAATCTACTCTTCATTTTATTTGTAGGAAACTTCATTTCCGATCGTGAGTATTTTTTGATTAATTTAAATAGCTCTTACTCTAGGAATAAATTCCAGGTATTAACAATCATTGAATTCAGATTTCTAGTAAGCTTTTTGGTGGATGCAAGAGGTGACACAATGAAAGGCTGTAGACATAGTGGAATTCGAATAATTGTTCCACCTCGAAGAGCTACAATGCCAATTCGTGTTACTTGTAGATTAGTAAAACCAAATAAAGTTGTAAATCTTCCTCCATTAATGGAAGGAGAAGCTTTAGCTGCTCGCATTATTGAGATGGGCCCAGTTGGAGCTTCATTTTTAGGGTAAATATTACAATTTTATTAAATATTTCTGAATAATTGAGCAAGTTCTCTAGCTTCAGTAGATTAAAGTTCCGTATAATACAAACTTTAAAGATATCTATGGTTTGTTTAAAACTTTTAAAGATATACACATTAATTTTTAAAGAAGACGAAAACTTTACTATTTATCCTAATCTGTTTATTAATTTTTAATAAAAAAATGTTTTTGTAGGCCTGTATTAATTGACATTCCAAATTTTGCTGCAATTCGTGGCCAAAACAGAGAAATTATTATTTTAAGAACTGAAAATGGGGAAACTTGGAAAGAACACGATAATTCTCTCGATGGTGATGACAATTTATTAAACACTACTTACGGTGAGTACCAAAATTTAGAATTTATATATTTAGACATTCATTTTTTAACTCAAAGGCTTACACAAGCAGAGTAAAGCAAATAAAAGCTTATAGACAAAATAATTTTAATTTATGTATGAACTGTTTTGTCTCAAAAGGAAACTGAGCATATCCAAAATTATATATGTTTAATTTGTCCGGCATCGGTGATCTAAACCTGATTTATTCATAGAGCGAAAGCTCTTATCTTAAGGGACAGGGTTAAGAAAGAGGAACTGTTAAATTAAATTTAAATTATTAAAGTTTTTATTTGAATCTTTTACAATTAGAATTAGAGAGAAAAAGTAGATCCAGATGTCTTCTGTAATACTGAAACAGAATTAGAACTTTGTAGAAACAAGGAGAATTTAAATGGGGACAAATTTGAAGTATTAGAAATTTACCTTTAAAAGTTATGGTTAGAGTCGTAGACCAAGCTAGCGGTGCCCCCTTTATTGTGAGGTCGAAGAAAACAACTTGACTAGCAGAGATATAGAATGCAGTAGATTTCCCTCAAATTATTTTCGGGCCAGCCAAAGTGAAAGGTCAGAAGTCAAGATTTCGATGTATATTAGATTAAACATCCTTCTGCCTTGGAATGACCGATTTATTTAATTAACTTTGATGTCGAAGTAAGGACTGCTCCTTAGAAAAACAGAAATGTGTCTCGTAGTAAAAATTATCTCCTTGAATGAATTTGACTAAGACGAGACTTGAAGAAGACCCTTAGTTCTTGAAGAGGTTTTCTATACTGGAGTCAAAGAACAAACTCGATGACAGTACATAACTAGTTAAGTTGCTGGCGGTTGCTGGATTGACTGGCGAATTTGGCGAGGGTGTCCCTTTTATACAGCTGCTCCCAATGAAACAAAATGCCACCCACTTTAATTGCTTGTGGGTCAGTTTTTTTGTATTGATTTAAGGACCTCGCATTGCAAAATTTTTAATGATTCAGTAAAATATTTCTAAAATAGATAAGAAAAATTATGTGCTCTGTAGGAAGCCTGAATTACATTATTTTTTCTAAATACACCCGGAAAATAACCTACACAGAGATGAGTGATGAAAATGTGTCGACAAAAGTTGGGCCCCACTTATAAAATTTATGTAAAAAAATTTAACAAATAATTTTAAATTGTTAATTAATTTAAATATTTCAGATACCCAAATGAGTGCCTTACACTCGGGACGAATAACTCGTATTCTAACTAAGACTTTCCCACAATACTTTGCTATTGTTACAAGAATCAAGCAAGAGGTTCATGTAATTGGAGCAGAAGGAGGAATTTTAATATCCAGTGTTGCAAATCACGTCCAAGCAGTGTTTCCACCTGGTTCACTTACTAAAAAAATCATTGTTGGATTGCAGGTCAGCTTTAAAAAATGCATCTGGATTTTTTAGATTTGCTTATATACATTAATTTTTCCCTATATATGAAAGTCTAATACGAAATATTAAACGATTAATCCTGAAATTTTAGGCACACGTGATACCAACCGAGCTAACAGCAAAACTTCTCGGAAACAGTGTAGCAGTTTCACCAGTCGTTACCATTGAACCAAGAAGAAGGAAGTTTCATAAACCTATTACTCTTACAATACCGGTTCCTCAAGCAGCAAATAAAGGAATGATTAATCAATATGGAGGTGAAACTACTTCGTTACGTTTGCTATGTAGTATTGCAGGTGAGTCTAATAAAAAATTGAAAAGAAAGCTTTTTAATTCAGTTATAATCATCCTTATTTAAAAAGGTGTAGATATAAGAAAGAATTTCTTTTTTTGTTTGTAATCAGAAATGGAAAATCTATGAAATCAGATACCTGGATATAGAATCCCAGGTTGTGTGGGGATGACCGCTCTTGTTCTGGTCGACCCACTAAAAACCACTTCCGTCTTAATCTGGACTATTCTTCAACCCACGGAACTACCTATTGGCTTTGAACTCCGTGGGGTGAAGGTCCCATTTTGTTGCTCGCACAACCCTTCAGTGCCGCTCTTGTTCTGGCCTATTTATTTTTCGTTCTATCAAAAGTTTTTTTCACGTCCTCAAGAGCCGACCTGACCGCATCCTAGGCACCTATTGCACCTGACGACTATACATCTTTTTCTGATTGGACACGACATAAAGCCCACCTTTATGCGTCTCAACTTTTCAAGCCTTTCAGCTTCCTCTAAGTTCGTGACTACAACAACAAGCATCAGGCCACGCTTGGTGGGCCCTAGGACCGTCACTTTTTTGCTAGCTGATGGTGTTCCTTATAATTTCACCAAGGCTTCCTGGACTTCGGCGTTGTCGGTAATGCAATCCAGGTCACGGATCTCCAGTGTAACCATTCGATCCGCCATCTGCACTTTACCAAGATCACCTACAATTCTTGTCACCTCCTCGGCGAACTTCTCCTTCTCTTGTGAGCCTTCTATTTTTATAAGCAGGTCAACCTTCTTAGTGGGTCTTGCTCCCACCATACTTGTTTGTCTGGTATCAGGTTCAGATTCTTTTTTGAGCTTCCCCAAGTCATCAGCATAGCTAATTCCTTTTTTGCCAAGGTTACCGCGACAATCAACAGTGATTTTCGGTTAAGGCATTATTTTACTTTATTATACTTGTTTGCTTTATAATCGTTATATTGGTAAAGATAGCGTTAGAATTTTATTCTTTATGATTTTCTAAAGGCGGTACCAGTGAAGCTCAATGGGAAGATGTGACTGGATCAACACCATTAACTTTTATGAATGACCGAGTTTCCTTTACAACCACGGTTTCTGCTAGATTTTGGCTAATGGACTATAGAAGCGCAAGTGATGTTCCACGAATGGCGACTGAATTATATAAAGAATCATTATTTGTTCCATTCATTACAAAGTAAGTTTTTAAAGGATTTCTATTATTATAAAGTACGGAATTTTTTATTTCTACTTGATAAAAAGTTTATATAGAATAATATGAAATAAAAATACACTAATTGTAAGTATAATTGTTGATGTTAATTACCTGCTTTTAAAGATATTCTGATATCAATTTTTACTAGATGAACACAAGTGTCTGTTTAGAAGGGTTTCGTAGATACACCTTCTGTGTACGAAACCCTCAAAGTAAACTAACTTTCAAAAAATTTAGCATTCTTATGTTTTTTGAATCGCTCATTAACAAAACTAAAACTCAGTTTTTTAAATTAGAAATGGCGGATCCAATATGGATGATCAAAAATATTGTTTGTAAAAACAAACCTAGAAAACTTTTAAATAGTGAGGGTCATGGGAATTCGAAGGCATTTAAAAAAATTCCGACATATTGGATATGACATTTTCTATTTTGTAAAACTAACTTAAACTTACAATAAGAGATTCCAAAGACGTAAATGCAACCAATCTACCAATTTTAATTTTTGAAATAGTAACTTGAAATTCATAACTATCGACTAAAAAATTGTTGGAACCCTAAATATTATGCAAAATCCGTAATCATATTTTATAAATAGTTTAAAAGAAACTAAGAGTAAAGCGATTAGTCATCGCTATTCTATTTATTTTGTTAACATATAAGTTCTTCATATTTGTTAAAAATTGTAAAATTGTAGGGGAGTATAGTCGAGGTTGGACCACTAGCGCCACCTACGTGCATGCTTGTCGAAGCTTGTCTTAGTAAATCTAACTTTTTGTTCAATTACATTTTCGGAGAATCGAAAATTGTGTTTTCTGTGACGTCGGTACAAAAAAAGCTCAAAAAAAGTTTTGTGCATCATGTAAAAAATCATTAATAAAAGTTAAAAAAAATTGAATCGTCAAGGCAAGCATGCAGAAATTTTGTGGAACTCATTGTTGAAAGAAAATCAAAGTGAAAAATCGAATCCCGAAACGTATTTCTTTTTGGTTACAACAATTCGGTAATGTTACTTTCTGTCAAGGTCGGCCACTTTGTGTTTAAAATGCGCAAATATGAGGACGAGCTACTTCATTTGCAAAAACTGCAATTCTGTATAACTCATTATATAATTGATCATCTTATTAATATTTTTATTTAATTTTATTAATATTTCAGTGCAAAATTTTTTTTATTTATATTTATTTTTTTATATTGTTTATTTTTATTATTTTGTTATTTCATTAAGTTACAAACTGTAAACAATAAAGAATCAATTTTCCGTAACTCCAAACATGTTATTTTATTTTTTAACGATTGAATTTTAAACATGGCCGACCTTGACTGTAAGGACCAACCTGGACTACAAATTTTTTTTTTTTAAATCTTTATAACTTTTTCATTTTAAAACTAATCAATTTACTTTGTACAGAAAAGATGTTCCTATTAAACAGGACTTTCCAACCATATACTTTAATTGTCCAAATTCATTTTTAAAAAAAAGTTATAAACAAAAGTCAAAAAGTGGGCCGACCTCGACTATGTTCCCCTACATAAATTTTCATTAATATCTTCTATATTTTTCAATTTTAAGCTTTGTCATTTACTCGAAGCGGTTCGATTTAATAGAAGCTACTTTACGGATATTATGCATGACAGATGGTAAAGATGGAATGCACTCTCTAGAAAAGCAAGAAGATTTCTTGGAATTAGTTAAAAGTCGTGATGTTGAGGTAAAATTATAAAGATATAATCCTAACAATAATTTTCATGATTTAAAAATGGAAAAATTTAATTTGTTTCTTAGGCTCTGGATGGGAAAAATTTGTATATAGAATTTAGTGGAAATCTTGTTCCTGTTACAAAGTCTGGAGTTCAGTTGAAATTTGTCTTTAAATCATTTCGTCAAAACAGGATATCGTTTCATGTAAAAGTGAAAGATCCAACTTTAGATCCTGTTGCAAGAATGCTTTTCATGAGAGAACCTAAAGTAGCTAAAGGAGAACCTCCTCAGCAACCAGTTTGTGTGCTGAATATTGTGCTTCCAGAAACATTTAGTAACTCAGTATTAAAGAACAAACATTTAGGTTCGTAAGCTATATTTATTTATCTTTAAAAGATTTGTGTAAATAATTTAAATCCTGAAATTCATAACTAAAAATTAATATAAATAATATCTGCTCGTCCTAGCAACTGTATGTCGGTAACAGTGCTATTGTTTACGGTAACAAAAAAATTCCCCGTAACGTCCGAATTCAATTTTTACGCGAATCCACATTCAGCTAGCTTAAGGGGTTACATCCACTTAGGATATTCCCCAAGATATTGTAAATAAACAAGACCAAAAAAAGTTCTAGAAGAGAGTTCTATATGCTGTTCTAAATTATTTATAAATTATAATTGAGGACATAAAATTTCAGAATCTTTAATGTTCTAGATTTAACATAATTATATTTAATGAATATTCATTTTTTAGCTATGGAAGATTCAAACAAACTGGCCCAAAGTTCTGATATAAAATCTAAATCAATATCAGATCACAAAGAGAAATGCGATGAACCCAAATCAACTTCTCCTTCGGAAAAGAAAGTTTTAAATGACAAGCTCCAATTAAAGCTAACAGGTACAAAATTTTCCATTTACTAAATATTTTTGTAGCTAGAGTAAGAGTGAATACAAAAAAAGGAGAATAAAGCATAACCTTCATTTCATCGATAATATAAGAGACACAGAAGGTTTCTCAATGAAACCTCAGTGCATTAAATGCAATTAGGTAAGCTGATGTATAGTCGTCCAGTGCCAGACTGCTTTTTCTATATTTTTATTTAAGAAGAAAATTAAATCCTCTTATGACTTGGGAAGCCGTACCGCTTCTTTAATTCATTTAAAGACAATGTACAAACAAATCTCAATACCAAGGGTAGAGTTTCGTAGTCAGTAATCAACTGCTAGTATACTATTTACCACCAACTAGTGTATTAAAAAATATATTTCTAAAAGTCATACAGGAGTGAGTTCTTTTATTTATTTTACTAGAGATTGTTTTCTTTCTGTTTTGATTTGATATTAATTTATTTAATTTTATTTCAGGGTATTTTTTAAATAGACAATTATAAAATTTTCTTTTCCTTAAAAAGTATTTAAAAATTCAATTTTGCAATGGAATCAGAATATAAATGCAAAGAATTCTCAGCAGATAGTTGTATACTAAATCAAAGTAGTAGGTGTGGTACTGCTCAAGTAAAACGCAAAACTAGGTCCACCCGAAGACGCCTGAATGCTTTAATGAACAATACTTCGCTACACTTTTCGGATACTGATTCTGAAGGAGAATTGACAATCATACATCCAGGAGGAAAGAAAAATATATCTTCTAAAGTCAATGCTATTCCTCAAAACATACCCAATCCCGTTGTTTCGGTAACTGTAGACGGAGTTGAATATCAAGAATCAGACTCTACGTATCAGGAAAATTTTTATTTAACAAGAGAACGTCGGAATAGTTTTGTAGATAACTTAACTGACGTTGATGAAATTTATACAAGTGATGTTGAATCTCATGATACTAAGGAAAAGAAACCAGCTAGAAATAGTTTGAGTGTGGGTTTCAATAGTCATCAAGGAGAAACTGATGTTGAAGATTTAGCATATGAAGACGGAGAAGAACCAGCTCCAATATGTGTTGAAGCTCGATCCGATATTTTCACTGACTTTAATGGAGAAACTATTACCACAAAAGAAGGAGATGGTCCATTTTCGGTTGAAGTAAGAAATCAAATTTGTACAGCAAGGGAAAAAGAAGTTCATTCTAAAATGCCAGATATTATTGTCATGCCAACAACTGATAGTGAAGATATGGATGCCTCTGACGAAGATGATGAACTTGAAGGTGCTTGTGGAATTCAAGAAGAAATAGTTTTGGACGGCCTTGCAGCTTCTCAAATTGTTATGAAAAATCTGAATAAAATAGATCATCTACTTAATGTTGCTAAAGATGTTTCAGACGATGGAATTAGTGACAGTCATACCGATGTAGAAGATCTGGAGTAAAGTAATTTTTAAATTAGATAAAAAAATAAAACGTGGGCGAATGATGATCTCGATTATAAAATAACTGGCAGAGTTAGAAAAAAATTTGCTATAATATTGTTTTCGTGTAAATGTGAACATAAGAGAAAAATTATTTGAAAGCAATTAAACAATACACTTTAAAAATTCTTTACTTTGTCAGCAGAGAAAATTAACTTTGCTTGTAGTTAAATTTATAAAGGAATCAATTTTTTAATGCAATGTTAAATTCCACATCCTTTTTTCCGTTCTTGTGATAATTATTTAAATAACACTAAAAGATTTAATTTAATATTTCAACAATTACGATCGAGATAATTATATAAAGTAACATTTATCATATACAGCAAAATTAAAATTTTAAACGTATGACCTTGACCCTTGTACTCAAATTTTAGTATGAATTATATTTGAACTGAAGTAAATTCACTTTTATTTTAACAAACATTATATAAACGGAAGAAAAACAATGTGATATCAAATAAAAATTGCATTATACATCGTAATACATATTAAGCTTATTTTATTGTACTTGAAAATTATTTTTACCTTAAGATATTTGATTTTTGTGAAAGCAAAAAAGCTTATTTTTACTCCTTCTACAATTTTTTTTCTCTTTTACAAATAAGAATATTGAAAGTTATTGGTATTGATAATTTAACAATTGAATAACGTAGTGTAAAAAAATAATTATTTTTGCATTTTTGTGAAATAAAAGTGATGTACCTTTGGAAAATGTGATATGTAGAAAAAAGAATGATAATTTTTTAATAAGAAAGAGTGGATTCTTTCCAAATCCTATGTAAAAAACATCTTAATTTAAATAAATTAATACTTAAATTGCCAATGCTAAAGCAACGACATTCAATTTTTATATAAAAAAAGTTTACACATGAATTTAAAAAAAACTTGTAATAAGTTGGCAATGTAAAAACGTATGTTAACCAGGAATTAATTCTATGTAATTTAGAGTTATATTAACAGTGTTGTTATTAAAAAATGTTCAGTAGCTTCTCTGTCGAAAATGTAACCAACAATAGTAGGTTTAATAAATGTTTAAAGATATTTTTATTCTGTTTTAAACACTGAATTTAGTTGTCTTGGAAGACACTTATATGATTATATACAGTATGAACACAATTTAGACATAGAATTTGCAATTAGAAAATGTTTCATGCAACACTATTAAAACACATTTCCAACATTATGTAAGAATACTTACAAAACACTTTTATGACATACATACTATGTTTTGAGAACACTAATAAGTTTACAAACTATTCATCAAGTGCTTGTAAAACACTGATTCATTTTAATATACATATACACGCATCAAACATATTATTTGTGTTCTTAACACGCAATTCAAATGGAATAAACATTTTATAAAACACTCTTTAAACGCACTTTGTATCAATTTTTTCGACAGGGTTGTAACTAGAGGAAAATACTCTAATTTAGTAATACAGAGGGTCGATTCTGTATCTTTTCTACTTTCCCCTCCCACTTCCCACCTTCCAATATATATTTCCACTTCCCACCTTCCACTTCCCACATTCACATCCCACCTTCCATTATCTATTCCCACTTTCCACTCTCACTTCCCACCTTCCACTATCTACTTCCACTTTTCACTTTCCCTTCCCACCTTCCACTACCACTTTCCACTCTCACTTCGCACTTTCACTTTCCACATTCACATCACACCTTCCACTATCTACTCCCACTTTCCACTCTCACTTCCCACCTTCCACTTCCTACTTCCACTTCCTACATTCCCTTCCCACCTTTCACTACCACTTTCCACATTCACATCACACCTTCCACTATCTACTCCCACTTCCCACCTTCCACTACCACCTTCCACTACCACTTTCTACTCTCACTTCCCACTGTTACTTTCCACATTCACATCACACCTTCCACTATCTACTCCCACTTTCCACTCTCACTTCCCACCTTCCACTTCCTACTTCCACTTCCTACATTCCCTTCCCACCTTCCACTACCACCTTCCACTACCACTTTCTATTCTCACTTCTCACTTTTACTTTCCACATTCACATCACACCTTCCACTATCTATTCCCACTTTCCACTCTCACTTCCCACCTTCCACTATCTACTTCCACTTACCACCTTCCACTTCAAATTTCCCTCTTTCTCCTTCCACTCCCACTTTCGCTTCTTACTTTCCACTCCTAATGGTAGGAAAGTGGAAAATGGGGATAGAAAGTGGATGGAGGGAAGTGAGAGTGAAAGGTGTGAACTGGGAGTGGAAAATGGAAGGTGGGAAGTGGGAGTAGATAGTGGAAGGTGGGATGTAAATGTGGGAAGTGGAAAATGGGGGTAGAAGGTGGGAAGTGAATGTGGGCACTGGTAAGTGAGAGTGTAAAGTGGAAGGTGGGAAGTGGGAGTAGATAGTTAAGGTGGGATTTGAATGTGGGAAGTGAGAGTGTACGGTAGGAGTGGAAAGTGGGAAGTGGAAAATGGGGGGTAGAAAGTGGAAGGTGGAAAGTGAATGTGGGCAGTGGGAAGTGAGAGTGTATAAAGTGGTAGTGGAAAGTGGGAGTGGAAGGTGGGAAGTGGGAGTAAATAGTGAAGGTGGGATTTGAATGTGGGAAGTGAGAGTGTACGGTAGGAGTGGGAAGTGGAAAATGGAAGGTAGAAAGTGTAAGGTGGAAAGTGAATGTGGGCAGTGGGAAGTGAGAGTGTATAAAGTGGTAGTGGAAAGTGGGAAGTGAGAGTGGAAAGTAGGAAGTGGATAGGTTACAGAATTGAACACCAGTATTATAAAAATCTTTAAAATGTTTACAGATTCATTAAACTACAATGCGGATGTTTTATAGATATCAATAAATAATCGTTCACCCAGCTAAACTTTAGTAAAATCTCATGTAACTCTTATGTTCAAAAACTTTAGGGTCCAAACTATGAAATGAAAATTATATTTTTTCACGTACCCTAACTCTTAGGATATCTGAAGGACATTAGTTCATCTTAATTAACATAGTATTTTAATTAATGTGCGATATTCATAAACTGTTAATTTATAGTTAATACTAAATTATAAAATGATTGTTACTAAAGAATTGTAAGCAACTAATAAATACTGTTTAAAAAATTATGTATTAAAAGCCCAAGTAGCAGTTATGTTAAGAGCTACTTGGGAGTAGTATTTCGATTTGTTAAAATTTCTAAATCTTATATTGTTCAAAAATTATTTTAAAAATTAACAAGATAGAATCTTGTCTTCAATAATTCTATTCTTTATCCTTCTTCTATTTAGTTTTAATTTTTTTGCATTTTTTATTATTTATTTTAAATGTATAGAACATTATTTCATGTGAATTAATATTATATTATTTATTTTTAATAGCAGAATTAAAATAGAAAAATCAAATTATTTTATTTAATTAATTAATGTAATTAATTTATTTAATTATTATTGTTGCAATTTATATTTTCATTGTTTTAGTAATATTCAATAAACAGTTCAAATTGCACTTTCGGACTGTAGTCATTCTTTCCTTTTCTATTTTCCGTATAATTTTTTAATACTCTGAGAAGTACATAGCTCTTTTCTAATTTCTTTTTCTTTTTATCGGTGCTGTTCTTTTTCAAAACCAAAACTTATTGAGAGATTTTTGACAATACTTTTTGCTTTCCCCGATTATTATTATTTGTCACATTCAAAATATAGGTTTTATAATAAGATTTTTTATGAAAAGTTTGCCAATATGTGAATTGAGAATAAAAATAAATAAATCTTGTGGATGACCGTTTAATGTTGATCATGTTGATTAGAAATGTGGCAACACTGGACGATAACCAACGGTTTTCTGTTTTGGGTCTTATCCGCCCATCAAAGCACTGGTCTAAGCTAAGCACTGTTCTACTGCATTTTAACAAACTTATCCGCTTTAAAAAAGATGGTGTATATCCGGCTAGAGGGTGCAATTATTTGCAATTGTGCCAACGTTTTGGGTTTTTGACTTTGGAAGAAAGAAACTTAATTACTGAAACTACATTTTTATTCAAAATTCTGTTTAAGTCAAATAGATAGTCCTTACCTGTTAAGTCAAATTTTATTCAAAGTACCTAGACTTTCTTCTAGATCTCAGCATGAAGCAAGATTTAGAATTATTCTTTTCAAATCAATCAACTTTCAATACATGCCTGAATTAATACATCGAGAGTCTTCTTTAATTCTTTTATTTTGTATAACCCATTTTATCAAAAAAAAAATTAATTACAATAAACAATTATAAATACGATATTTGGTTGTTACAGAGACTGACACATTCCAAGGTTCCTTTGCGAAGAAATCTACTTTTCACGATGAACCTGTTGATTCTAATTACGCTAATAAAATAAACGATGAAGAAGACGACTTAATCTTAGAAAAGCAGACTTATTTAGAAAAGAAAAAATTTTGGGAGGACATTACAAAAAAGCGAAATAGCTATCAGAGATCGGAATCAGAGATTTCAAAATCTTCTCAACTTACTTATAATGAAAGTGACAGTGAGAATCTTCCATATGTAGTGTCAGAAGAGTATACACCTGCTTTTTCAGGAAGATCATCTGAGACTTTAGAGGACATGAATATTCCAGATATTTCAGAATGTTCTGTTGCAGAAAAAGCGCATTACTTTGAAGAACAAATTCAGAAGGAAATTTCCAATGTGAAAGTAGTACATAAATCTCAAGAATCTTTAAAAGAAAAAGACAAGGCAACAATTGGAATAAAAATAGACGCAGGTAATTTAATTTAAAAGTTTGATTTAGATTACTTCAAAAATAAAACAAAAGCAGAATTAAACTTAAAAACTTTCAAAGTGTAAATGTTTTTTATCTTTTACAACAAAATAATAATATACGATTTACAGTTATAAATTTTATTTTTCAGATACAGAAGAAAAACCTTCAGAGATTAGCGATACAAAAGAAAAGTTTAATGAGAAAGAAGATTTTAAAGATAAAGGATCTACTTCCGATGACATAGAAAATAAAATTACATCCCAGAGTTCAAAAAACATTCAAGCTTTAAATGAAAAAATAATTCATAAAATATCACAAGATATTTCAAATATTGATAAATTAGAAGCATTAGAAAAAGAAGTTAATGTAATTAAACAAGAGATTGAATACGTTCCTGATGTTCAGTCTGATTCTAAGATTCCAGTTAAAATATTACCGCATGCGAATGCAAAAAGAAAACCTGATTTTAAGAAGGAAGAAGAAATAAGTGAAAAATTTAATTTAGAAGCAGAACATGGAAGTTTGTCTGAAGAAAAAGTAGAGAAGGAATCGTTTTCAGTACCCGAAACAAGCGAAGTTCAGAAAATAGAGAGAGATGTAAAAGAAACACAAATGATTCCAAAGAAGAAAGAATTTGTTCCTTTAGTGGAAACAACTGTCACACAAAAATCAGAAATTAAAACGGAGTTAAAAAAAGAATTTAAATCAAGTATTCCGATTGCAATGACAAAAACTGAAAAGGATAAATTAGTCTTAAAGGATCAAAACAAAACTGAAAATATACTTGATGCATCTTCCGAAAATATTTTGAACCCTTTAATTTCAAATGTAGGCAAAATTGTAGCAGATCGAAAAACAGATCTGGAATCACGTATTCCGAAAATGATTACTGAAAACAAAGACTTATTAACAAAAGAACATCATCGTATGGAGAAAACAGTCAGAGAGGAAGTTACTTCCACAAAAAAGAAAAGTGAAACCCATATTTTCTCAAAAACATTTTCAGCTCGTCCACAAGATGCTAGAAGTATGTTCGAGGATCTAGATACTTTAAAAAAGGATTCTGATGTTGTTGTAACTTCAATAGTAGATCAGGAAGCATCAACAACAAGAGAGAAAATTGAAACTAAATCTTCAGAAATTTCAAAAGGTGATACTAAATTATTATTCGAGGAAAAAAAAGAAGATCATAAATCAAAAAAGTCTTCAGAAAAATGTATAAAACAACAGTTTCAGGAAAAAATAGTACAAGAAAGCCAAGTAAATGTCAAGGAATTAAATAAAACAACTCTTCAAAATACATCAATAAATCTTACATCAGAAAAAGAGATTGTTGATACATCTGCATCACAGGCAATGATTAAAAGTGAAGCAAGTCAAAACAGCTTAATACTAGAAGACAAAGAAAGAATAATAAAAGAAGTAGAAGATTTGACTAAAATAAAAAAAAGTAAAATTGACGTTGGTTTGAAAATAGAAACTGATTTGTTAAATTTGAAAGAAAGTATTAGTGATGTCGTCTCTGATGAATACTTTCACAAAGAAGAATCTAAATCATTCGCTGCTAAAAATATTTTTAAAGATGAATCTCCTTCTTCTTATGATCCAGCTATGACTAAATTAGAAGCTCAAAATATTGCAGAAACACTTGTACAGTCGATAGAAAAAGAACTAAGTAATAGATCAATTTCTTCAGATGGTTTGAAGAGAGAATTAGAAGACCTAGAAAACGTGGACTCTGAAATTTCAGATAATCAACTCGCTGATGATTTGACGAAAAAGTTCCAAGATATGACGGAGAAATCATTATTGCAAGATAATATTGTGTCAGGGTCTTCGATACAAGAAGAAAATTTCGAAAAAGATAACACACAAGATAGTGTTAGTTTCAGCGAAGATTTAGCGAGAGAAGATGAATTGTTCCTTCAAGATAAGGAAGGTCTTTCATCATCTCGTTTTCATGTAACTTTAAGTTCTAGCAGTATTTCTGACCATATGGACTTAGAAGATGTAGAAGGTTTTGTACCAGAAGGTGATATATTAAATCATAAAAAAACTCCATTGACAGATAAACAGCTTGCAGAAAGTAAAATAAAGGAATCTTTAAAATATCAACAAGAACCGGATAATTCCGAAATGTCTACTGCTCGAGTACTGGAAATTATTGAACCCCAACAGGATATTTATTTAAAAGAAGATTCTATTCATTTAAAAAATTCACCAGATAATGATTTGATTGAATCTACATCTACAAAAGTCTCGACTTTACATGAAAGTACAGCAGCCAGTGACCTTGACAAAATGTATCCGTCAAGTAGTGGAGAATTAGAAGAAAACTTGACTACAATGTCCGAAGGAACTCTTGTAAATATTCTTCCTTCAAATCTTCCTCCTATTAGATCTTATACAGAAAGTGATCTTATGCCACAAAAAAGAGATAGTGACGAAATCCTTAGTCCTCCATTGATATCACCTAGGTCAAAAGTTAAAGATCTTGAAATTAAGCCTATTAACTGGATGATTGGAGACGAGAAAATTGAAATTTCAGAAACTTTACAACCTTTCCAAGAATTTGACAAAGAATTAGAAGAATATAACTCAAGTATTATGCAGGACACTACAATACAAAAGGATGAACCAAAGTTCGAACCAAAGCTGCCGTGTGAAGTTGAAGATGAAAATACTCTTAAAGGTTTAAAGACATCTAAATTTTCCGTTACAAAAGTGAGTGATCAAAATTTAGAAACACAATTAATCGAAGACAAAGTGCATCAAGGTCATCAAAAAGTAGATCATACATTAAGAAAAGAAGAAAAAGAAACTAAAGATCAATTTGCAGATCATATGACAGAAGAGAAAATAAATAAAGAACGGCAAAAGCCAGATATTACAGAAACATATTCTCCAGGTAAATCATCAAATATTATTACAGAAACTTATTCGAAAGACCAAAGTGAAATAGATGCAGAAAAGAAATTTATCGAAGATTCCAAAAAAATTATAGAAAAAGAGGAGACACCAATTGACGATCATAGTTCATTTAGAACTAAAAAAGAAGATTTACAAAACGTTAATTTAAGTACTCAATATGCAATAACAGTTTTGGACCAAGTTGTTAAAAAAGAAATTGATGAAGTAAAAGAATCATTGCAAGCAGCAAAACAAGATTTAATTGAAGAGTTAAGCGAAAATAACGAAGTTGTATTTAATATCAAGGATTCTCCTTCAGAATTTCAATTTAAAATTCAGCCTGAATCAATTCCAAACGAACTTCCCTTTCTATATAGAACATCGTCTTCAGAAAAAGGTTCTGATCAGGATTCAACACCTATGTCCGGTTCACCAATCATTAAACATAAATGGAATAGTAATTTAAAAGAGAAGGAAGATAATTCAGAAACATCAACAATAGATACAAAATACTCATCGTTGCAAAGTGAGGAATCTCTAACGGATGGCGGTAAACAAAAACTGACTACTGATTCCACAACAGTCGAAGATTCCACTGTATGCCAGCAATCTAGTCAAATATTAAAAGATAGCAAATTAGAAGAGTCTTATTCTTCTTCCCCAATTCCTGCTAGTAGATCAATTTCAGACACCGATAATAAAGATGACAGTTTCTCTCTACAACCACCACAACCTGCTCCTAGAAAAAGGATAAAACCTTCAAGACCAAAGAAAATTATTTCTGAAAGTGAACCTGAAAGTTCAGGAGAAAGTAACTATCAATCCTGTGATTATGAAATTGGCAGCAGTAGCAGACCCAGTTCATCTGAATTTGATACAATGCAATCAGCTTTTTCAGGTACACTTTCTGAATACGAAACAGCAATGATGTCTATGGAAAATTCTCGACCAACTTCTCAAGATTATCAGACAGCTGCAAATACTCTAAGTTCTCGAGAATCAATGAAGTCCCTAAATTCCTTAAGTTCAGGACATCTTGGAAGTGTAGATAGCACAAGCGAATTATCAGAAACTTTAGTACCTTCTGAATCAGAAATGGACGAAAAAGACGCAATGGATGTTAATCTTGAAATAACTCTTGATGATGATCAAATCCCCAATGTCACTTCAACGACAACAATAGAAACTGGCGAAAGTGATATTCCTTATAGAATGAAAAGATCTTCCGAGATGATATTTCCTCAGTTATCTAAAGACTCTTCTGCTGATCAATCCTGCCAAGAAATTGCAGATATTATTGATAGAGAGACAACAGACCTAGAACTAATATCTAACGAAAGCTTAGAACCTAATGTGTGCCAATCTAGAGATTTAAATTCAGAAAAAGATTTAGATCACATAGATACTACATTAAAATCAAATTTTGATGGCGGCGAGAAAAATGAGATAGATGAACATAGTAAAAGTAAATCTGACTTATCTACATCAATGGATGAAACAAAACTTGGAATTCTAACATCAGTGGATTTAATAACAACTCGAGTTAGCCAGGAAGATGTTCAAAGTGTTTCAACGCAAATAATATCTAGAGAATCTGAAAGTGTTATTGATGATCAAGATGAGCAAGCACTTTCATTTGAGCCAGATTCATTAGACCAAAGATTAAGTTTTCTTGAATCCGATGAGAAAAATGACGATTTACAAACATCAACAAGAACATGGTTACAACAAGCAAGCATGTCTACTTCTTCTACTTCTGGAATGTCAATTGAGACTGTAATTGAAAAAGAATTGCAAAGTAGAAACTCGCCGGATAGTGACTCATTTGAATTAGTAGATAAACCAGATATCATGGATGATTTTGTAGTAATTGAGGAAGTAGGAAAAGAAGCTGAAGAATTTGATGCAGAAGGAAAAAGTATTATAATTGGCAAATTTCATTGTACAAGTACTAAAAATTATGACAGAGATGTAGAAAATCTAATTACTGAAAAGAAAGATGAAAAAGAAGTTTCAACAAGTCAGATATCTAGAAGCAATGAATTATTTGAATTTGAATCAGAGGAAAGCCCCCCACAAGTTTCTAACGAAGAACAGTATTCTCAATCTTATTCTGATGAAGATCCAGATGAAGGTGCTAAGAAATGGATAGAGATGCAGTTCCAAAGTGATACAAGAGTGTATGATATAGAATACGAAAGAGGACCTTTAGAAGATATTAAAGAAGAAGAAATAACTGATTTTGAAGCAGGAAGCAGCAAGTTTGGTAGTATGGGGAGTCACAAGGAGTCAGTTGGAAGTATAGGAAGTATAAGAGGTAGTTTTGGAAGTACACCTGATTATGACACGATAATTGGAAAGAAGTATTTTATAAAACCGACTGATCATGATAATGTTTCTTTAAGTTCACTTCAAGAATTCGAGCACTTAGAGAATGCAGTTGCCTTAGAGAACTCTAAAAAATTTAGCAGTGGATCTCAAGACTCGGGAAGTAATGGAAGTCTTCCAAGAAGATACACTAGTAGTCGATCAGGCCATGGAGACGATATTTCTTTATCGTCTTTAAAAGATTTTGAAGGTTTAGAAAAAGCTTGTAAAGAAGCTCATTTAATTGAATTAAGAGCAAAGGAGGAAGAAGATTTATTAGACCACGAAAGTCCAGAGAATAAATTTAAATTAGAAAATCTGACAAAAGTTAAAACGCATATCAGCGCACATGGTTCAGGTAATCAAAGTACTTCAGGTTCAGATGATTATGAGAAAAGAATTAAAGAAATCGATGAAATAATTCGCATTGCTCAAGCTAATGTTGAAAAATTAGAAAGACAGGATGATACGACAGAAGATATTTCTCAGATAGAAGGTGAAAAAGGAATTACAGATGACGAGATTCCCACTGCAATTCAGAAACCACAAGGAACCAATATTATGGAAACAAGTGTTGACTCTTTGGAGTTAGAGGATAATTCAGAAATGAAGCAAAATTTAATGTGTCGAAGTTCTGATTCTTTGGAATTGAAAACAACGCTTGATTTACCATCTTTAAGTTCAGATTCACTTAACAATTTAAGAGATCCAAAGGACATTATAACAGAAATAGGTGAGAATTATCAAATTGCAAGAAGAATTTCATCAGATTCACTTGAAATTCCCGAACGAGAACTGCAGGAGTCTGACAAATTATTACAAGAAAGTGAAACCAGTAGTAACCGCTCCGAAGAATGTGCAATTTCTGTTTCATCCCGCATACATTCCACATCAAGTAAAAATGATAAAACAAAATCCAGTTCAACAAGTGGCATTTAGAAATTTTTACACATTATAGGTAAGGCTACAACATTTTTTTTCTAGTATTTACGATAAATTTTTAGAAGAAGTTATGAGATTTTGACTCGGGCGAGATTAAAGTCCCCTAAGACTTGAAGCGTTTCTGTCACTTTCAATGTATGACGCTCAAGATTTTAACGTTTCTCTACTCATAATACAGCATAAAATTAGTAAATTAAAGAATATTTCGTTCTCTGTTTCAGATATTGGACCATTTATATCTGTTTGGCACAAACATATGCAGTAAATACAAGTATGAATCAAGAAGCTTTATGTGTGACACGTGATTAAATATGAAAAATGTAAAGTGTCAAGAAACTCGTTTATAATTGATTAGATTCCACTATGCATGCTGATTTAAATTTTAGTAATTGTAAAATTTTTATTTGCAAACACTTTTAATAGACTAACGGAATTTAAAGTACAAAAGTAACCTTACATCCATATGCATAAAGAAAACTTGTATAAGGTTTTTAATAAGTCTTTGTCGTTTTTGATAATAAGAAATTATTATAAAATATTAAATGTATTATTAATTATTTATTGTTTTGTTTATGGATAATATTTGTATGTTATCGAGCAGGTTTAGAATATTGCAGCAATATTAATTATATACTTTTATTTAATGAAAATTTTAAAGTAATTTTACCAAAATTCTATCTGTTTATAATTGTGTCCTCATATCTCCATAGCATGTAAGCTTGCCGCAAACTTATTGAGCAAGCTGGATTATGTAGATATTTTATCATTTGCAGTAAGCCTATACTGCAAGCTTGTGGCAACCTTATTTGTTTTTTCAGTTTAATAAGTATAATGAGTAACCTACTTTCTAAAATTGTAGCTTACCAGTGTTAAAAAACATATTACGTTTGGGGAATGTTCTTATAACGTGTTATGTCTGATAAATTAAAATTTAAAAATGTTTAATGATTTGGAAACGTTTATGGAACGTTCGTTGAACGTCATTGTATTTTCTGTCCAGTGTGAATCCTCAGTTTCTCAATACAAGTTTAGTTCTTATATCTGCTATTTATAAAAAACATTTTAAAACTACCAAAAAAAATTTAATAAATTTTGATTATTTTGTTATTACTGGGTAAATATTTATACATAAAAAGATACGCCAAACGAACAAAACCAAAAAATTCTCATTTAAGTTATTTTGTCAGCATTGTAGTAGGGTCAAAATAAGTTGGGGTGCCTTAACAGCAACGGATATTTATATCCGAAAATTTGAATATCACTAGAATATCCTTAAGATATCTCAGGATATCCTCGGGAAATCCTATGGATAAAATGGTTTCCAGATATCTTTGGGACATCTGTAGGATATCCTAAATATCCGGGTACTGTAGGGCGATCATTTACAAAAATGTTGTCTTCTGAGTGAATCCCTCACATAAGGACAAATTCAGAATTAAGATTAAATAAAAAATAAATAATTATTTAATGTTTAATAATTGTTTCATTTTTTTCGCAAGTACAATATTTGAATTAGCTAGACTTATTACTCAATGGTTTTTAGGATCGCTGATTACTAATCTGATTTTAGTTTTTTAAAATTCAAAATAGCGGATAGAATATGGAGAATATGGGTTTCAATGTTGCTGTTCACGAATTTAATGTTAGTTTTTCAAAATTCAAAATGTCAAAATGTTGTTCATTTCACTAAATTACTAACTATTTTGTCTTCCATGTTGTATCCGCCATTTTGAATTTTAAAAAAACAACACGTGATTTGTATTTAGCGTCCCCAAAACTCCTGAATAACGAGTTTTAAATTTATTTATTATTTACTTATTAAGAAACAAAAACAATTTTGGTTGTCACGGAGTAGAGAATTTTTGTTCTCTTAGGCAGAATGTGAAATTGAATTTGATATTATAAAAAAAAATTTTAAAAGTAGTTAATAGTATTTGCAATTTTTTATTTATAAATAAAATATTATTTTAAGAATTATTAATAATATTCTTTTATTTACTTTTACCAAAAAATTGAAAATGTTCTGTCCGAGGTTCTGGCGGTTACGGATTGGAGTTTTTCCTCCTTGACAGCTCGAAAATATATTACTGATTCTGATATTAATATAATATATTTTATAAACAAACAATCAACCGATATTATAATTAACTGTTCACACGTGGTAACGCAATTTGTAAGACAGATGGAGGGAATCTTATTTTTATTGGCCTTTTTTCTTTACACATTGAGACTAATTTATATTTTTTCAAAATTAAATAAAATATTTTGTTTTGTAAAAAGGAGGAGTATAAATCTTATTTTAATTGGCCAAAAGCTTTCATTTTTCTTTAGAGGTTGAGACTAATATGTTTTATTTAAAAAAATAAATTTTCTCACCATCTTTATCAATGGAGCAACAAATAAAAAATTGCATTTTGTAAAATCCTTTGAATCTTATTTTTATTGGACAAAGGTCTTTATTTTCCTTTTTAAGTGTTGAGACTATATAAATATATAAAGACTAGCAACAATTTGTACGCTAAAGCGCTCGGCTACTTTCTTAAATATACTTTTTAAAATAAAATTAGCAATTTAAAAAAAATAAAATTAAAAAATTTTTAATTCATATTTTTTTATAAATATAAAATATGAGTTGTAATATAGATTATTACTATTATGACCACAATAATCATATAGGTATTCTAAGACAGAAAAGTCAGACAAAGTACTGGGAAAAATTAAATTTTTAGAATTCATAAGAAAATTCTGAATTTTGGTGTCTTTTTTGTTTGTCTCATAAAATATGAATCACCACGAATTCTAATACAAAACCATCAATTTTTTCTATTTCTGACAATAATTTTTATTTTAAATAACTTTCATTCTAAATAACTATGTAATTCTTAAACAACGATCATAAAATTATTAGGGGAATGTAGTCAAGGTTGGCCTACTGTCTAGGTAGGCCACTCGCGTTTTTTTGTCAAGTTCACTAGCGCCACCTACGCGCATTTTTGTCGAAGCTTGTCTTAGTGAAACCTAACTTTTTGTTCAATTACATTTTCGGAAAATCGAAAATTGTGTTTTCTGTGACGTCGGTACAAAAAAAGCTCAAAAAAAGTTTTGTGCATAATGTGAAAAACCATTAATAAAAGATAAAAAACAAATTGAATCGTCAAGGCAAGTATGCAGAAAATTTGTAGGACTCATGGTTGAAAGGAAAACAAAGTAAAAAATCGAATCCCGAAACGTATTTCTTTATGGTTACAACAATTCGGTAATGTTACTTACTGTCAAGGTCGGCCACTATGTGTTTAAAATGCGCAAAGTTGAGGACGAGCTACTTCATTTGCAAAAACTGCAATTCTGTATAACTCATAATATAATTGATCATCTTATTAATATTTTTATTTAATTTTATTAATATTTTAGTGCAAAACTTTTTTTTATTTATATTTATTTTTGTATATTGTTTATTGTTATTATTTTGTTATTTCATTAAGTTACAAACTGTAAACAATAAAGAATCAATTTTCCGTAACTCCAAACATGTTATTTTATTTTTTAACGATTAATGCCCTTTGAATTTTAAACATGGCCGACCTTGACTGTAATGGCCAACCTGGACTACAAATTTTTTTTTTTTTAAATCTTTATAACTTTTTCATTTTTAAACCTGTCAATTTACTTTGTACAGAAAAAATGTTCCTATTAAACAGGACTTTCCAACCATATACTTCAATTGTCCAAATTCATTTTTAAAAAAAAGTTATAAACAAAAGTCAAAAAGGTGGCCGACCTAGACTATGTTCCCCTACTTAAAAATTACTTAATGAAAATTTCACTTAAATCACAATTATCACAATCATCTTTATAAATAACAAAATTCTTCTTCAAAATTCAATTACTTTAAAAAAATTTCCTCATTTCAATGATTTTCAATATGAACTATTTTAATAAATTTCCCAAATGAATTCAATTATTTAAAAATAATTTTAATAAAATTTTACTCAAACATTTAATTATTTTCATAAATAAAAAATAATAAAGCTCATTCGCAGAATTTTAATTATGTTTAGTACAATTGTAATCGAATTGCTCAAAAAATGTAATTATTCTTAAGAATTTGATTAAAATTCGTCAAAAGAATTAAATTATTTAAAAATATATTGATAAAATTCTTTATAAGAATTAAATTTTAAAATACATTTAATCATTTAATAAATTATTTACTTTTGCATTTGAATAATTTTATAATTTTGAAAATGTTTCAAATTAAAATATTGGAAAATTTGAATTTTCTATACTTTTAACTGGCAATTTTGTAGAATTAATTTTTATAAAAAAGTTTAATTTAGTTTTTTAAAAATAATTCAAAGTTACATGGAAATGTTTCCAAATATGGGAATTTTTAAATGCTCAGAAATTTTCATATTTATAAGGAAATTTTTCTAAACGTTTAAGAGAATTTTTCTAAACTTTTGAATTTTTTTCTACATTATTTTATGGGAATGTTTTTCAATTCATAGGAAGTTTTCGATAATGTTTTAGTAAAATTCCGATATTTATGTTAGTAAATTTTTCTAAATAATTAATGAAATTTTCTTCCTAAATTTTGTTTGGAAAATTTCCAAAATTTTTCTTACAGTGTATTATTTAATTGAAGAATTCCCGAATAATCGAAATTTCGTAAAATTGAATTTTAAACAAGTGTATTTGCAAATTCTCAGAGAACTTTTTGAAAAATTTTAAAAAATAGTTGATTTAGAGAAGAATTTTAGTTAAAAATCCTAGAAAATAGTAATTGAATTGAAATGATGTAAATAATTTTGAAGAAGATGAAAAATACCTGCATATTTTCGATTTGTCAAACAATATTTTTTAAAAAACAAAAGCATATACAAGAACTAACTTCAAAGTGTTGGCAGACAGAATGAAAGAATGAAATACGAAGATTATTATAGTTAAAATTTAAAAAATTAGATTCAAACTTCTCCTACTGTGGGAAATTTGGATGGTAAGTACCAAAATTGGTCAGATTCCAAAAGACCAAATAATCACGTTATAAATTCTGTTTAACATTATTTATTAGAAAATAATACTGCCATCTGGCTTACACTCAACTATAAGATTACGTTCTCTTCTCGACGTTACAACTAGAAAGAATGACATTCATACCTCGATGATCACAGTTAGTCCTCCTCATAAGGAAAAAGAGGGGAAACCTAAGGACCAATTCTATGGCAAGCAAAGCGAACATTAAGCTGCCGCCACACACTCCCTCCAAGTGTCTACGATAAAAAAGAAAAAAAATTAATAAAAAAATAATAATTGTAATAATTAAAAAGGTATGTTAGAATTATGACAAAATGACTAATTACATGATACGAAAAATTACGTTAGTCATAATACAGTCATACATTCCACACAAAATTAATATCACACATTTGACAATACTTGTCAAATTGGTTGACACTTTGGTTTAAAAAAAAGGAAAAACATAAAATAGAATTAAAATTAAATTTTAACGAAAAAAATGAGTACTTTCGTTGTACAAGAAAAAAAACTTGATATTAATTAAAGGTCGAACGAGACCTTCTTTCTCTTTAAAATGTTTGGAATAAATTTCTTAGATTTAGTCGAAGTATTTACAGGTGGTTGGGTTGTAGACGGTTCCACATCAACTGTCACTCTTCTTATTCTTCTTCTTCTTTTGTTTTAATGGCCTCTTGTATTAACAAATAGCCAGTACTATAATTGTCTTATTTGTGTTATAGTTTTAAGTCCGGTTCATACGGTTTTAAGTCCGATTCACATATTCGATGATTTCATTGTTTATGTTAAGTAGGAATAATTTTCGATGTTATGTTCTTTTAAGTTCAGATCGATTGTATTAGAATGTCTCTTTGTTAAGTTTGCGTTTGTACTTTTTTATTTTAATACTGAATTATGGATAGGTGATTGCGGGAAATTAAAATTACAAATGCTTGATCTAGATGATCTGGTCCGACTCTTGATTTTATTTATTGTTATTGTTATTATACTGTCCGTTAGTTCGCTAATGCTGTTTGACTATTTATTTATTTTATTCCTGTTATTAATTTTAATTATTTAATTTTTTTAAAATTTATTTCAGATACATATGTGTTTCCCTTAATAAAAAATTTGCTTATTTCGATAACCGTTGAAATGTCTGGGTCAAATATTAAATTATCCAAGTTAAAATTTTCTGAATTAAGATTCGTTATTTTAGACGCTAAATAAGAGAAAAACTGAGGTCTTCCCGGGGAAAGACGAGGACAGTCCTTCAATAAGTGATCCAGATCTTTAAGTTCGGCTCCGCATTCACAATCAACAGGAAGAGTCCATCCCATTCTCTGATAATGTTCGCCTTTGCATATACATATGTGATGTTCGTAGTCTTGTTATTGTATTTATATTTCTCCTAGACGTGCTGATGCCTTGGAACCATGGTCTTTTAGTTTTGACATTTACTCTCGTGAAATATTTGTTTCTTAAAATTCGTCCCTCGGAATATGGCCACGACAGCAACCTCCATCCCTCAAAATCTCTTTTGATAATAGGAATCATATATCTCATTATGATTACTGAGAAGTTACCAATTTCTAAGTTTAAAGCTTGTTTTGCCAATTTATCCGCTTGTTCATTACCTTCAATTCCCATGTGAGATGGAACCCATAAAAATCGAATAAGGTGTCTCTTGTTTATATTTTGGATAATGGATTTGGTTATTTTGAGAATTAATGGATGAGGGATCATATTGGAGATTCTTGATTGAAATTCTTCTAGAGCCTTCCTAGAATCAGTAATTATTACAAATTTTTTCGGCACCATTCGCTCCAACTGTTTCAGAGCCGAATAAATAGCATACAATTCGCAAGTATAGATCGTAGTATGGCCATTTAATCTAACCCCAAAATTATAATCAATTTCCGGAATCACAAAGCTAGAACTTGAACGAGAACCAATTGGATCATGAGATCCATCTGTATAGATACGACTAAAATCGGCATATTCATTCTCCATAATATTTGAAAAAACACGATTAGGAAATTCCTCAGACTGCAACATGAGACTACTTGATAAATTAATGTCTAATTTTAGGGTCAATTCATTCCAACTATAATAAAAATGAAGGGTTTTGAGTTTTTCCATTTTTATTCAGCATACGACTCATATCAAT